TTTTTGAGCAAGGGAAATAAAAATTAACTCAGTGAATTAAATAAAGAATTTAAAATCAATGCTTTATAGAAACATATTTTTCAAATTAAATTAGTTTGAGTCAAAGTGAAATAAAAATTAAAAATCTTAAACTATCAAATTTTGATTTATTGAAATGCATCAAATTTTTGGAGGACCGAGTAAAATTCAGTTTCATTATTAATGACTTCAGGAGCCAGCATGTTTTTCAATGCAATATCATTCAATGCTTCATTGAAGAATTTAAGCTTATCATAACAAATTTCAAGTTTCCCTCTAAAATTTTTGAAATTAGAAATTATTATACAGAGTGGGGCAGAAATACCTCCCACATAATGGTAAGACATTAGCTAGATGAAGACACCATTGCCACTAATATCTTAATATTATGTGGGAGGTATTTCTGCCACACCCTGTATATTTATCTATTCTATTTGTCTTTATCTTGATATTAGGGCCAGTGCATACTATCTCTGAATTCCTCAATTAGGGAGCCCATGCCCAATTGGAGGCCCTGGGTAGTGTTTTGTGACCTTTACTATCTTACCAAGGTTTCATTTTTCCAACTTACATTTATATATGTCACGAATTAAACTAATCATGACCGATGAATAAATGATGAAAAACTTTTGTGGATTTTGATGTCATTCTAGGGTCTTTTTTTTTCACTCAAATTTGTGAATTTGTTTTGCTTATGCTAAGTCTCAAAAACACTATAGAAGATTCCTAAACTTTTTATCCATTATGTCGAATGTTAAAAGTATTCAACTTTTTAACAAGAAAAATCTCAAGTGGATGTAAAAAATTGTTGATTTATTTAAGATGGAATGATATATGACAGGTCTCTAATTTGTATTTAGATACATCGTCTTTATTTTCAATTTTTTTTAGTCGAATTGTTCACCTATATTGTGTATGATCCATTATTGTATAGAAATAAGTTAGAATAAAATTTGTATTTTATATGAATACTACATTATGAAAATTATGATGTAGTAGAGTAGTGGGCTCCATATCATAGATTCAGGGGAGGGGGTCACAGGACCCATGCACTGACCCTGAAATATCAATATTTCAACTGTTTTACTCTCCATCCTTTTTCAGGTGTCTATTCTATCCACTAACCTACTGAGAATTTTGAAACTAACCTGTAAAGATGCAAAGGGTGATTATTTCTCTTTAGAGTGATGAATACAAGTTGCTATTTAGCAAATGGAGAGGCAAGACATGTCTGTCCATGCCAGTTGCTATGTAGGCAGCAAAGCAAGACATTGCCCACTGCAGTTAAGAGAGCAGAGGAAACCACATGGTCTCATCAGTCACACAAAGGACACCACCAGCTTGCCTGCTTTCCCTTCGGGAAATATTACAAGTAAGACACTCTTGCTTTTCACTACTTTCATGCTGCTTGTTGTATACATGTGTTATAAGTTCCCAGTTGTATTAAAGTGTTACTATATCATGGATATAACAATGCCTATAATGAGGAATTGTAACTGGGAATATTCTTTCTTGCCTCCATTAAACGCTTTGTGAATCCAATCTCCAGGTCAGCTATTGGAAGTCATATATACTGGTTCATTGGAAAAATCAAGATCAGTATTACAAAATTAAATTAACTAGGAAGAATCAATTGATGGGTGCAAAGCCAAGCGGTTAGAACGTTAGTGTTCTAACCAAAAGACCATGGTTCAAAACTCACTATGGTTGATTTGACAAGGAGGTGACTCATTAGTAATAATGATCTGGGGAGATGATCCCAGTTTGTGACACTATTAGGAAGTGCCTCAATGCCGGAGATCCTAGCACCCTTGTGACATATATAATTTTAAAATATTCTATTCAACAGATTAATTTGTTTTTTTTATGGTTTATCAACCCATTGTGGGTTATTTTAAAGCTACAAGCATATTTTGGCTAATAACAATAAATTTTTTTGCAAGTGAATACTGATGATGATTTTTCCAGATACAATTACTGACTACTAGCTGATCTACCTTCCAATTTTTAAGTTTTTTTCCCTTCAAGATTGTCATTAGCTTTGATGATTGATTAAATGATTTTTTTTTTTTTTTTTTACAGCTTATCAACCCCATGCGGGTTATTTTTAAAGCCAAAGTCTCTTTTCATGCTATGGTTTCAATAGCAGGAAATTTTTACACTATTTACAGGCAGCCTATTGTCCTCATCTTTGTGCTTGTGACACTGTTTTGGCCATTGTGTGCTTCAGCCTACTTCACGCAGAGGACTCAACAACCAAAACATTGTCTCTATTTTATTTGGATACCATCGTATTCATTTTCAAGTTGAATTGTTCCCCCTATATTGCATATGACCCATTATTGTACATAATTAGGATACGATAAAAGCAACAAAGATGAGGATAATAGTTTGCATGTAAATAGTGTCAATAATGATAACTCCTCATCCCAGAAATTCAGATGGAACATAGGACAGATATCTGCAAAAATCGGTTATTCTCAAAAAATTGTTAATGAAATATTCACTTGTGAAAGGTTACTATTCCTACATTCCAAAATATTCTTTGGCTTTAAAAATAACTCACAAATGGTTGTGAAGATATTCTTATGGTATTATCTAAATATATCATAATAAATTAATTTAATTAGATTTTTTTTAAGCTGCTTAATTATTATTATTATTAATACAAACAGAAAATTCTTCAAATGTTTCTGTTATGGTCAGAGCTTTATCTAGAATAGAAAATTCAAATGGCCTTAATACTTTAGAAAATATATGTCTTTCTGAAAATATATATGTGAAAATTTTATAAAGAAACTATCTTTTACAACTTACTTTTCTTTCTTTGTCCATAGGATGGTTGACTAGTTAATAAAATCATTACAGTTTTTGTTTAGATGAAGCATTGTCAAGCATTATTATAATTTTGACTTGAATTTTATTTCATCTTAATTTTTAATTGCTTTTTATTGCAACTTTATTCGGCTGTCAATCTACAGTCGCGAATAAGAGAATTGGTTGATCAATTATTATCTTTTTTAATTAGAGTTGATTTGTCCATGTTTTTGAGATGAGATATTGTAACTCTTTGCACTATTTACATATTTTCAGATTGTTGTCCTCATCTTTATTGTCATATTCACAAGGTTTCGGTTGTTATATGGTCCAGCCTTCTTTAGGGGATATATGTTGGAATTTTGAACTGAATCCTTTATTTAGTCCACCAGGGTAGACTGTTCTATTTCTCTGTGCCATGCCTTTTATGGATATCTTTTTTTTTCTTTTTTTTAGTTAATTCCCTTTAGTAACTCAACTCTCCAAGGTTTTTTTGGGGTTTTTTTTTGTCCATGTCTGCTGTGGCCAGGTATTAAACTCACAACTTGGGGACACATGACACAGTGTATAAAAGCATTGGTTGAAGTAATCCAAAAGTGACTTGACCCAAAGAGTTGTGAGTTCAATACTTGGCCATAGCAGAGAAAAAAAAATGGAAAAAAAAAAAAAGAAGATATCCAGAAAAGGCATGCCATACAAATCTAGAGCAATCTATGCTGCGGACTAAATAAAGGGTTCAGTTTGAGGTTTCAACAAATATCACCTGAAGAAGGCCGGAGCCTACAGTGGCTGAAACATTTTGAATATGGCAATAAAGTTGAGGACAACAATCTGAACAATGTAAATATTGTCCGAGTTGATTTGTTGGTAATGGCTAATGTCATTTACTTTTTGTCGAATGCTAATAGATATTTTTTTCACAAATAAAGAATGCATAAAAGCAAGCGTTTTCCAACTCAGTTCATATTCTATTTGCCCAGGTAAAATTCTAAGTTTTGCAAATGAATGTAAAAAGCAAATTAATAATTATAAATCAATGTAAAATTTAAAAGCAATTTGTAAGATGGATTTGAGAAGAAGAAAAAAAAAAAAAAATCAAAACTAATTTTGAAGTTCCTTTTCAGTAGAGCATCTTTTAGATCTGTTTTACTGTATTCAACCTTTAGATCTTCCCATAATGCCTTTTCAATGAAGCATCTTTGTCTGGTTTCCTGCATTTAGTCTTTAAACTTTTCCATAATGAGTTTTCAATGAAATATTTTTGGTTTCCTGCATCCAGCCTTTAGACCTTCCCATAATGCCTTTCAATGAAACATACTTATCTGGTTTTATGCATTCAACTGTTAGATCTCATAATGCATTTTCAATGAAACATCTTTCATATTAACATGAAACAAATTGTTTGATCAGCAACTAAAAAGATTTTCTTTACTCTGCAGTTGTTTTTTTTCAAAAAAATCTGAAAGTCTAGGGGTGGGGAGAGGTTTGCATGTTTAATAGGTTTTAACCTAGAAATTAATCTTTAACAGTGGGCATCTTCACTGTTTCACTGGACTTATAAAAATCCATATACTCCTGGTTTCATTTTAAACAGACATTTTTTTTCATATAGTTTTACCATTTGGCTTCAAGTTATTATTTTCTCAATTTCAGATGAAAACCTGGAAATTTCCCCTCATATTTCAGTGAAATTTTCCCTTTCTAAATTTATAATTTACAATTAGTTATATATATATGGGAAAAAAAGGTGTCTATTTAAATTGACACCAGGAGGATATGGTTTTAATTAGATAGTGCTAATGTTTATTTTTTATTAGGTTATGAGATTGATTTTATTGATATCTATTAAATTCTTGAAATTTTACAGATACCTGTAATTTGTCAGTGTCAATCAGTAAGATTATAGCAGCACCCACCCTGAATCTATCTTCTCACTTGAACATTGACAGACACTAAGCAAAACACTGCCGAGTCAGATAAGAGCAAAGAGAATGAAAAAAAAAAAAAAAAAAAAAAGTTTTTGAAACAGAGTTAGAAAAGGGGAAAGGTATAAAAATGTTAGTTGAAAGAAGGAATTGATGAATGAAGCTATCATCAGAGAAACAATAAAGAGAGAAATATAGTGAAGATGAAGAAGCAGCCATAATTCCTCAAGTGCAGATTACCGTGATCAAAGACATTTGATTCGTTCCTTCTTCGTCTGCTGGGCATTGCTCACCTTCAGGGGCATGATGGGCAAATTTTCTGGGGAATAAACCCTGTCAAAGTTGTCAGCAGTGAATTATTTAACAAAAAATTATTGAATTATTTAAGTAAAAAAAAAAAAAATATGGAAAAACAAATGAGAAGAAGAGAAACGATTAAGACTGAGAAATGAAATATTAGGTTTGAAAAGAGAAGAAAGACAAGGAGTATTAGTAAAAGATTGAGAGAGAGAGATTAATTATTTGATAAAGATGTTGAGGGAAGAAAATTGCACAGGTGTTAGATAGGTGGCCAGAAAAAAAAATCATATGAAAAAAGTAAAGGGAAGAAAAATCATAAGGTATGCTGTGCTAGGGAAAGATTTTTTAAAAAGTCATGAGAAATAAAATTGTAACTTGTAGAAAAGAAAAAAAAGTCAGAGGGAAAATAAAAACAAACATTATAAATTAAAACAGGTAATATTTATTCAGGATATGCATGTAGTGTAATGGATATTTGCATAGAGAGTAGAATTGACAATCTGAGTTCAAATTCCAGGTTGTGTTCTAGATCCAGAGCCTTCTAACCCCTTGGAAGAACCCCTCCCTGATTGACCATGTTTTCAGGAGTATTTAGCCATACTCATCATGCTTAGCCAACTGCAGGTTGGTGAGGCTATTTAACTCATCATCATCATCCTTTGACCTCCCTATGGTTGGTCAGAACTCCATTGACAATCCATTTCCAGATTGTTCGGGTCTGCATTGCAGTCCCCAGATCCCCAATATCAAACCCGAACTATGGTGTCTGGGAAAGTCAATAGTTATGAGAAGACACTTCCAGAAGGATGCCATAGGTGTAATTAGAAAACAATTTCCCTGTCCGCTCAGTGGCATTGGCCAGCAAACTGTAATCATTTTTGTCTGAGCTTAAGAGAGATTGGTCACAGTTCTCCATAAATTGTGTTAAGTGTTTCATGGGATCTCCAACTGATGTTCTGAATCTTTCTAAGTAGATTTATGTATGTTCCATCCAGTCATCTTTCAAGACGAACAGGTCATGTTCAAGTTTCTGATCCATACAGTAGAACTGGTTCAATCAATGTTCAAAAGGTTTGGACTTTTAAGGAGGATGGAAGGTTCAGGTGTTAAATCTTGTGAACCCATAGTTGGATGTTTTGAATTCAGAGTTGTCCTTCTCCTGGATTGGTTGCCACCAAAATTGATAGGACATAGCCTGTCCTACTATTTATCCATAGCGCAGGGGAGAAGAGACAGATTCATACATTTCCCAAGGATATTTGCATGTAAGTGAATGTTAAGACCTTGACTGAAATTTGAACTCTGTTCTCAGATTCCTCAATCTGAGCCACTATCCATTACTCAACCATACCTGTTGTGTTTACTTTTGCATGAACACCTTTGGGAAGGACATGCATCCATCCTTTCTCTTCATAGCTATTTAAGCAGGGTGGATTGAATTTTCAAGCCTTAGGTGGCAACCAATCTAAGAGAAGGAAAACTATGAATTCCAAAACCACAGAGAAGGGAACAGAAAACCACACCACTATCTTTGCATGAGAAGTTATTTGCATTTCACAAACAATAAAGACGAGGAATCTGTGGAGAGCCACGATCACATAAGTCTTAAAGAGATATGATATTCAAAAACTATATTTCAATAAAAGAGGTAATAATTTATATTTTAATAAAGAAGATCATTTATATTAATTAAAATGATATTTTAATAAAGCTCTTTAATGAAATATTCCTCTAATTTTTTTAATGCATTATATCTTTATGACAGACGATCATGGCTCTTCACAGCATCCATTTTTTTATTATTTGTAAATTGTCATCACTTCTTAGAAATGATAGTGGTTTTCCATTACCTTTTCATGTTTTCTTTTTCTTAGTCTGGTTTCCACCCAAGGCTAGAGAGCATATTCTACCTTGCTATTTAACCCATACCTGGGGTAAGAAGTGATGAAAATCATACCTTTCCCAAAGCATTAGTGTGAAAAGAAATGCAACAAAATATAACAAAAGTAATATAGCTTATACTTATTTTATTGCCATAATTTAAACATGACTGATATTAAAATTTATTAATTAAAATATTAAAATAACTACTTCAAATGAAAATATGAATTATTTTAATTTAAAATAATATTTTTTAATAAGTAATAATATATCATAATAAAAGTCATATTTAATATATAACAATGAAAAGTAATAACTTAATGTTGATAAAGTAATATTTAATTTCTAATCTTAAGCTACTTCATTAAAATATAACTTATTCCATTTCTATAAATCTTTATTAAGATTTATAAAATTATTAAAAATATTACCTATCTTAAAATAAATTAAGACATTTTCTTACACTGATGAAGCATATGTTATGACCTCTCAAAATTTTTCCTTATATTTGTTTTTACCTACCATTGTGAACATAGGTTAATTAAGTATTAACAGAGGTGAAAAGACAGCAATATATATATATATATATATAATGCACAAACACATATATATATACACATACGTGTGTGTATATCTATGCATGTATATATATATATATATATATATATGTGTGTGTGTGTGTGTGTGTGTGTGTGTGTGTGTGAGAGAGAGAGATATATTCTATGATAATGTTTTGGAATTATCTTTTTTGTTATTGCTAAGATTGTAAGTCAATTTTAAAACATTTTTTTAAAGTATTATTTCTGTTTATTTTTATTTTTTTTTTGTCAGCTAAAAATGAAAATATTGTCAACATACCTGAATGTCAATTTTGGGTTCTTGGTGGTCTTTGCAAACTTCATTTTCAACATGAGTCAATAATTGAAGAAAGTCGTCCCAAGTGGACTACATGTAGTAACTCCATTTGTTTGTTGTGATTATGAGGATTTTATTGTGCATGCATGTAATAGTTTTTTGAGAATATTAGGTTTGATTGGAGGGAGTGGTAGTGAAGCATGTCTGTAGTGCAGTTGCAACAAATATTAATAGTATAATCTACAAGTACATTCATGAATAGGTTATCCATATCAACTCGTGTTAAAACCACCAAAAACTGAAAAGTTCATTTCAGGAATATTGATGATATTTTAATTTTACCTAACAAAACAAAGAAATAGAAGAACATATATATATATATATATATATATATATAAGTATTTCGGCAGCAATAATTCTTTCAAATATGTTTGGTTAAATAATATAGGCAAGTTCTGTCTATCAATTTTTTTTATTAAAAGATTTTTCAAATTTATTCATTATTCATTTGCCAAAGTTCATATTTATTTTATATATTTTTTTAAAATTACTTGGAAGAAGTAATATAAAATAAAATAAATATGAACTTTGGCAAATTTGCTAAGAAAACATTTGAAAAATTTCATAAATAAATTGATAGACAGAACTTGTCCATATTATTTAAGCATATATATATATATATATATATATATATATATATATATATTTGATTCTTGGAACAGGGTGTAAATATTATACAAAGATTCATTTGGATTGTTTCCTTATCATTGTCTCACTTAACTGCTGCACCTACCAATCTTCCTCAAATGTCTGTCCTACTCAGTAACCTTCTGATAATTAAAACTGTGTACATGTTATACTTGAACAAATACAATCAGTAGGCCAAGCATAGAAATGAGTTCTATAGAGGAACTGTTTTATTAATAAAGGACATACATTAAATTTCATGCTCCATATATATATATATATATATATATATATATATATATATATATATATATAAGTTCTTATGGATAAAAGTGCTGGTAGCACTCATCTGTTTCTAGGGAAGTCATAGGTCAATCTCTGGGTCTGGTAGTGTAGGAACGAAACAGCAACATTAGGAAGAATTGCTGGTTTTTAGTTCTTAAATTCTCTTGGAAGGACATTAAATATGACAGGTCGAGGAATGAGATTGATCTACCCTGTGAATCAAAGAGTTCTATTTAACAATCAATAATGGATTGAGAGTAGAATGGCTGAAATGGTTGGTATAAAAACAACAATGATGAGGAAAGTAGTCTAAATGAATCAATATATAATACTGTAATAAAAGTAAATTGTGATTTTGTTTTTTACAGTAAGGTTTACCCTGTACAAGGCACAAGAGCCACTCAAGGTAGGTTATTTTTTCTTTTTTTTAGAAAGTAGAATTTTCAAGGCTTTCAATGTTCTATCATAAGAGAAGTTTTAATTATTCAGCCTATTTTCTTCATTTTTGTTGTTGTTATCACAACGTTTCAGCCATTGTACTCTCCAGCCTTCATCAGGTGTATATTAATCTGGGTAACCTACAGGGAATTCTGAACTGAACATTTAATCTACAGAGGTCGACTGCTCTTGTTCTACTGCTCATGATGAGGGTTATCTAATCTAGTTCTTATTTTTAATACAACTTAATTATTGTTTACCCATTTCCACTGATTCCAAATACACTGCTCAGTCCAGGGATTGAACTCACAATTACTATGTTAAAAAATTCACAAATCAATTGCTTAATCCACTGTTTTGAAATTATTTACAGTGTTTATTAAAACTTGAATAACAGACATATTAAAAGCAATTTAGTAAGGGAAATGAAAAGCAAGGAAAAATCCACCAACATAAAGGGGAGTGATTAGTTTTTTTCTAAAAAAATAAGCAAAATTAGGGGTGCATATTATGCACAGCTGCAAAAAAAATCTTTAAAAAATTGTTGTTTCATTGGTTGATTTCAGTTGTGAAATAACTACTCACCACAAACATACAACAATGTGACACTAATATTCGGCGATTGTGACCCCTTAAGGATTTCAAATACAATCATATGTACCTAACAATACTTACCAAACAAGAGAGGTGCATATTGTATAGTAGAAGTAATTTCCCACACTTTCAGTACAATTTTAAGGGTGTGTATTATAGATGAAGGCGTATTATACAAGGGGAATTATGGTATATATCTCAAGACTATTGACAAAATTAAAAGAAGGATCTGCAATGTAATCAATCCTGACCTGGCCTCTCAAATTCAGTCACTTTCTCCTTGACATAATGTG